ACCCTGCCCCTACCTGGTGTGTGTGTGTGTGTGTGTGTCAGACCCTGCCCCTACCTGGTGTGTGTGTGTCAGACCCTGCCCCTACCTTGGTGTGTGTCAGACCCTGCCCCTACCTGGTGTGTGTGTCGACCCCTGCCCCTACTGGTGTGTGTGTGTCAGACCCTGCCCCTACCTGGTGTGTGTGTGTGTGTCAGACCCTGCCCCTACCTGGTGTGTGTGTCAGACCCTGCCCTACCTGGTATGTGTGTGTCAGACCCTGCCCCTACCTGGTGTGTGTGTGTGTGTCAGACCCTGCCCCTACCTGGTGTGTGTGTCAGACCCTGCCCCTACCTGGTGTGTGTGTCAGACCCTGCCCCTACCTGGTGTGTGTGTGTCAGACCCTGCCCCTACCTGGTGTGTGTGTCAGACCCTGCCCCTACCTGGTGTGTGTGTGTGTGTGTGCCAGACCCTGCCCTACCTGGGTGTGTGTGTGTGTGTCAGACCCTGCCCTACCTGGTGTGTGTCAGACCCTGCCCCTACCTGGTGGGTGTGTGTGTGTGTGTGTCAGACCCTGCCCCTACCTGGTGTGTGTGTGTGTGTGTGTGTCAGACCCTGCCCTACCTGGTGTGTGTGTGTGTGTGTGTGTGCAGACCCTGCCCCTACCTGGTGTGTGTGTGTGTGTGTCAGACCCTGCCCCTACCTGGTGTGTGTGTGTGTGTGTGTGTCAGACCCTGCCCCTACCTGGTAATGTGTGTGTGTGTGTGTCAGACCCTGCCCCTACCTGGTAGTGTGTGTGTGTGTGTGTCAGACCTGCCCCTACCTGGTGTGTGTGTGTGTGTGTCAGAACCTGCCCCTACCTGGTGTGTGTGCAGACCCTGCCCCTACCTGGTGTGTGTGTGTCAGACCCTGCCCCTACCTGGTGTGTGTCAGACCCTGCCCCTACCTGGTGTGTGTGTGTCAGACCCTGCCCCTACCTGGTGTGTGTCAGACCCTGCCCCTACCTGGTAAGTGTGTGTGTGTGTGTGTCAGACCCTGCCCTACCTGGTGTGTGTGTCAGACCCTGCCCCTACCTGGTAGTGTGTGTGTGTCAGACCCTGCCCCTACCTGGTGTGTGTCAGACCCTGCCCCTACCTGGTGTGTGTCAGACCCTGCCCCTACCTGGTGTGTGTCAGACCCTGCCCCTACCTGGTGTGTGTCAGACCCTGCCCCTACCTGGTGTGTGTCAGCTGACCCTGCCCCTACCTGGTGTGTGTCAGACCCTGCCCCTACCTGGTGTGTGTCAGACCCTGCCCCTGCCTGGTGTGTGTGTCAGACCCTGCCCCTACCTGGTGTGTGTGTGTGTCAGACCCTGCCCCTACCTGGTGTGTGTCAGACCCTGCCCCTACCTGGTGTGTGTCAGACCCTGCCCCTACCTGGTGTGTGTCAGACCCTGCCCCTACCTGGTGTGTGTGTGTGTGGCCGAGACCCTGCCCCTACCTGGTGTGTGTGTGTGTGTGTGTGTCAGACCCTGCCCCTACCTGGTAAGTGTGTGTGTGTGTGTGCAGACCCTGCCCCTACCTGGTAAGTGTGTGTGTGTGTGTGTGTCAGACCCTGCCCTACCTGGTAAGTGTGTGTGTGTGTGTGTCAGACCCTGCCCCTACCTGGTGTGTCAGACCCTGCCCCTACCTGGTAAGTGTGTGTGTGTCAGACCCTGCCCTACCTGGTAAGTGTGTGTGTGTGTGTGTGTGTCAGACCCTGCCCCTACCTGGTGTGTGGTCAGACCCTGCCCCTACCTGGTAAGTGTGTGTGTGTGTGTCAGACCCCGCCCCTACCTGGTGTGTGTGTGTGTGTGTGTGTCAGACCCTGCCCCTACCTGGTAAGTGTGTGTGTGTCCGGACCCTGCCCCTACCTGGTAAGTGTGTGTCAGACCCTGCCCTACCTGGTGTGTGTGTCAGACCCTGCCCCTACCTGGTAAGTGTGTGTGTGTGTGTCAGACCCTGCCCCTACCTGGTAAGTGTGTGTGTGTGTGGACCCTGCCCCTACCTGAGTGTGTGTGTGTGTGTCAGACCCTGCCCCTACCTGGTAAGTGTGTGTGTGTGTCAGACCCTGCCCCTACCTGGTAAGTGTGTGTGTGTGTCGAGACCCGCCCCTACCTGGTAAGTGTGTGTGTGTGTGTGTGTGTCAGACCCTGCCCCTACCTGGTGTGTGTGTGTGTGTGTGTCAGACCCTGCCCTACCTGGTGTGTGTGTGTGTGTGTGTGTGTCAGACCCTGCCCCTACCTGTGTGTGTGTGTGTGTGTGTGTCGGACCCTGCCCCTACCTGGTGTTGTGTGTGTGTGTGTGTCAGACCCTGCCCCTACCTGGGTGTGTGTGTGTGTGTGTGTCAGACCCTGCCCCTCCTGGTGTGTGTGTGTGTGTGTGTCAGACCTGCCCTACCTGGTGTGTGTGTGTGTGTGTGCAGACCCTGCCCCACCTGGTGTGTGTGTGTGTGTGTGTGTGTCAGACCCTGCCCCTACCTGGTAAGTGTGTGTGTGTGTCAGACCCTGCCCCTACCTGGTGTGTGTGTGTGTGTCAGACCCTGCCCCTACCTGGTAAGTGTGTGTGTGACCCTGCCCTACCTGGTGTGTGTGTGTGTGTGTGTGTCAGAACCTGCCCCTACCTGGTGTGTGTGTGTGTGTGTGTCAGACCCTGCCCCTACCTGGTAAGTGTGTGTGTGTGTGTGTCAGACCCTGCCCCTACCTGGTGTGTGTGTGTGTGCAGACCCTGCCCCTACCTGGTGTGTGTGTGTGTGTGTGTGTCGGACCCTGCCCCTACCTGGTAAGTGTGTGTGTGTGTGTCAGACCCTGCCCTACCTGGTGTGTGTGTGTGTGTGTGTGTGTCAGACCCTGCCCTACCTGGTGTGTGTGTGTGTGTCAGACCCTGCCCCTACCTGGGTGTGTGTGTGTGTGTGTGTGTGTCAGACCCTGCCCCTACCTGGTAAGTGTGTGTGTGTGTGTGTCAGACCCTGCCCCTACCTGGTGTGTGTGTGTGTGTCTGACCCTGCCCTACCTGGTGTGTGTGTGTGTGTGTGTGTCAGACCCTGCCCCTACCTGGTAAGTGTGTGTGTGTGTGTGTGTCAGACCCTGCCCTACCTGGTAAGTGTGTGTGTGTGTGTCAGACCCTGCCCCTACCTGGTGGGTGTGTGTGTGTGTGTGTGTCAGACCCTGCCCCTACCTGGTAAGTGTGTGTGTGTGTGTGACCGCCCCTTACCTGGTGTGGTGTGTGTGTGTGTGTGTGTCAGACCCTGCCCCTACCTGGGTGTGTGTGTGTGTGTGTGTCAGACCCTGCCCCTACCTGGTAGTGTGTGTGTGTGTGTGTGTCAGACCCTGCCCCTACCTGGTGTGTGTGTCAGACCCTGCCCCTACCTGGTGTGTGTGTGTGTGTGTGTGTCAGACCCTGCCCATACCTGGAAGTGTGTGTGTGTGTGTGTGTCAGACCCTGCCCCTACCTGGTGTGTGTGCAGACCCTGCCCTACCTGGTAAGTGTGTGTGTGTGTGTGTGTCAGACCCTGCCCCTACCTGAAGTGTGTGTGTGTGTGTCAGACCCTGCCCCTACCTGGTAAGTGTGTGTGTGTGTGTGTCAGACCCTGCCCCTACCTGGTAAGTGTGTGTGTGTGTGTCAGACCCTGCCCCTACCTGGGTGTGTGTGTGTGTGTGTGTGTGTCAGACCCTGCCTACCTGGTAAGGTGTGTGTGTGTGTGTGTCAGACCCTGCCATTGTGTGTGTGTGTAGACTCCCTACCTGGTGTGTGTGTGACCTGCCCTACCTGGTAGTGTGTGTGTGTGTGTGTGTTTGTGGGACCCTGCCCTACCTGGTGTGTGTGTGTGGTACCGCCCCTCCGCAAGTGTGTGTGTGTGTCAGACCCTGCCCCTACCTGGGTGTGTGTGTGTGTGTGTGTGTGTCAGACCCTGCCCCTACCTGGTAAGGTGTGTGTGTGTGTGTGTCAGACCCTGCCCCTACACGCCACAAAGGACCTTCTCTCCCGCCAACAGTGTAAACAGTCCCTGGACAAGATAAACTCTCGGACATGTAAATAAACACGATTCGCTCCAGTTTATTTCACCTGAAGATTAACCACCCTAACGCTATCGTAACGTAACACTAACCTAACCTTATGTAAAACAGTCATAACAGTTTGTGATATATAACTTAGTATTTCCATCATCATAATAACAACATTACTAACAGACAAACAAACACCAACAGACAGACACACAGTTCTTTGTAACACGTAAATCAAGAAGTAACGTAACATTTATGACGCAAGTAAATCACTCGGTGTTTTATCCTCCAACAATGACACCAGTAACTTCGGCTGCAACACATGACGCAACACTTTACAAACACAACGCAACACAGACAACAAAGATTAACAAATAAATGACAAAAACAATGTAACAAGAATATAATGTAATCTTTCTTGACTTGTAAAAACATTAAATTAACATCTACTACAAAACAAATAAACTTATAAGCAAATACAAACGTAACACAGATATAACACTAAATACTACGTAACATAATACCATAGATTATGTAACACCAAAGGTACAGTAACACTATATTACACAGCATAAACCAACCTTTGTATTTGTCACATAATTAAACTTAATTAACGAATATTATCTGGCAACTAATTAAGTGACATACGTAACACTAATTAAATTGGGTTTACGTGAAGATTAGGCACCCCAAGATTATTTCACCCAATTATTAAACACACTGATGCTACCTGGGGGATTAGGTTAAGTTAGATTAGGTTGGTTAGGTGAGGTTATGTTAGGTAAGGTTAGATTAGGATAGGTTGTGTTCGGTTATGTTACATTAGGATGGTTAATCTTCAGGTGAAATAAACTAGGTGGGGGGGGCTAATCTTCATGTGATCCTTCAATGGTTATATACCATTATTGTGAATAAAACGTCCACAAAATATAAAAATAACATTTCTGGTAAAGTTGAACTGAGACTGTACACACGTGGTCACACACACACACACACACTCACCTTTACATCTGCCGGAAGTTCCTTTAATTTTCTCACAGTTAAAACCAATAGTGGGAACGGTGTTGAGGTACTGGTCAAACTTAAGACGGTAGAGGGCGGTAGTCTTCCCTGCAGAGTCCAGCCCTAACATCACCACATGCAAGGGCGCGTTCAGGGAGGGTAGAGCGTCCAGCAGCGACCCTCCCTTTCCTGAACCCCCCTTACCCACACTCCCGCCCATAACTTTTAGAATACGATAGGTTTGGGGGTGCTGGTAGGTGAGGGGAGGGAGGTGGGTCAAGGAGCTACCATGGTGGTTTCTTTTTTGTTTATGTCTCGCCGTTTACGAGAGATTTTTGAGACTCGTATGTATGTTAGTCGGTGGTGTAAGTCCTGAGCCACAGTCTCGCCCCCTGATAGTTTTTGCGGCTAATTTTTAGTGGTTTGTTCCAGAGGGCAGGTAGGTAGGTAGATTCCGTCCGTCTCTCCCTGCGGCTATGGTGGCTGGCTGGCTGGAGTTGTTGTGTTCACTCTGTTCAATCACAGTTTTTACTCGTTCACATTTACCCAAATGTTTAAATATTATCACAGAAATAATGGCCAACAGTATCCCCCACCTTTACAGTATCACATAAATAATTCCGGGTCATATAACGCTGAGAATGGTGCGAAAATATTACAAGAATGACATTTCGTTTCCTGCGCTCACATCACCCATCCATGCGCCCGCCTTCAACCCCAACACACACAATTGTTTTCAAAATTTCACCGACTCATCTCTTAATTTTTTTAAGGGTCATCACACTTCACAAGATTAATTTGTTGTTGCTTTAAGATGTGTTCAAGGTATAGCATATGAACACTTCTTGTAGAGCCGTAGATAATAACAGTCTCAAGTCCCCAGATCCGTGTCTCACCCGTCACGGTCAGACGTAGAATGTGTGGACCTGAATTCCTTTGAGGCGAAGTTCTGCTGGAGAAGATGGGTGATGGTTGCCAAGTCGAGTTATTCATTATTAAATGACACAATAATTACATTTACTTCAACCTTTATCGAGAATTAAGATTACTACTTATTGTTAATATATCCAAAACGACTGCATATAATCAAACTGACGTAGATAGTTAACATAACCTTTAAATATATGATAGAATAAGATTGAGCCGTGCTGGTCGCTGGCAACAATAGCTCAGAGCATGAACCTGCAGACTCCCTGGCCACGCTTGAGGCCAATTATATTTTCCCACTTGCTCAATGATCACCTCTCACGCCGCCGCCGTGCCTCAAACTCCTGTTATATGGACCCTGTCGTGTAGATCGTCCCATCCTCTCTTAGATCTGCCGAAGGAGACGCAGGGGAAGGGGCAGAGGGAGGGAGGGTGTCATCACTGATCTTTTAGTAAACGGTCACACAAAAAAGTCTGAATTTATAAATATCATCGTTATTAATAGTTATGACATAATATAATCAATTATAAAAAGTTGTGTTTCAAGTGAGATTGGAAAGACTGAAAGCACTGTTTGTCCAGCTTCTGTGATCCACACACACACACACACACACACACACACACACACACATACGATACAAATAATATAAAGTATTATTAAATATTGGATCAAGTAACAAATTTTTTACATATTAAATTTTCGCAATAGGTAAATGAGGCAGAGTAGAAATTGTCCAGCCACTGGTCGACCCACACACAGGTAGGTGATATAAGTAGAAATCAACAATAATAACAAGGGTTCAACTGAAGAATTTCCACCCAAGTTTATTTCACCTAAAGATTAATCTAACATAATATTAATCCATCCTAATCTCACCTAACCTAATTTAACCTAACCTAACGCTAACCTAACCTAACCTCATTCCCCCAAATAGCTTTTGGATGTTTACTTAATCTTAAGTTGAATGAAAATAAGCTGGGGCGGAGGAGAGATTCTTCTGTTGATGCATAGCAAATATTTCGTTAAGTACCAAAAATTTATCAAATAAATTTTCAAATTTGGTTTTGGAATGTGTGTGTGTGTGTGTGTGTGTGTGTGTGTGTGTGTGTGTGTGTGTGTTTATGAATGTGTGTGCGTATGTGTGTGTGGGGGTATGTATGTTTATGAATGTGTGTGAGTGTGTCCTTAACGGAGGCGGGAGTGGCTGGCTGGCTCAGGTTGGCAGGCTGTCTGACTGGTTGGCTACGTCCCAGCTGTCACGTCCAAAACACTAACAGGACCTCCCCCAGCGGCCACCACAGCACCTCTGGCTCCCGGTGTCAGTACTGGACGGCTGTGGCGGCGTCTCTCCTCATCACTAAACCATTTTGTTAATTGTTATATAGATTAACGTTTGGACAATATGAAACGTTAGCTCTCTGCTATTGAAACAGTTTACCTGTATTTAGCCGGAAGAACACAGATACAGAGTGGATAATAATAACAATAATAACATGGGTTGGGTTACGTTACGTTAAGTTTATTTTACATATACTGGGTGTCCCAGAAAAATTTCCTTGCCTCCCTCCCTCCCTGCCGGCTCCCTCCTCCCTCCTGCCTGCTCCCTGCCTCCCCCCTGCCTGCCTGCTCCCTGCCTCCCTCAGTGCCTGCCTGCCCTTCTCCTCCCCTGCCTCCAATTCACAGTGTCTGAGGGAGAAGGCAGGGAGGATTGCAGGCTCATTTTTGTGGGACACCCTATATATTACACGGACCACATCGGTTGTGATATACAGGACTTGGGTGACAAAACAGACTCACTCCTCGTAGATGGTGTGTTTGGTGTGGTGTAACGTGTGTTTTATTCTTAGTGCTGTACTCATTACCAACACTAACTGAGCGTCCGTTATTCCGTGAGCGTCAGACAGCTAGCCACCTGCCATCCCTAACTGACAGACACCCACCTGTCACCTCTAACTGACAGACACCTACCTGTCACCTCTAACTGACAGACACCCACCTGTCAACCCTAACTGACAGACACCCACCTGTCAACCCTAACTGACAGAACACCCACCTGTCAACCCTAACTAACAGAACACCTACCTGTCAAACCCTAACTGACAGACACCCACCTGTCAACCCTAACTAACAGACACCCACCTGTCAACCCTAACTGACAGACACCTACCTGTCACCTCTAACTGACAGACACCCACCTGTCAACCCTAACTGACAGACACCCACCTGTCAAACCCAAACTGACAGACACCCACCCGTCAACCCTAACTAACAGACACCCACCTGTCAACCCAACTGACAGACACCTACCTGTCACCTCTAACTGACAGACAACCACCTGTCAACCCTAACTGACAGACACCCACCTGTCAACCCAACTAACAGACACCCACCTGTCAACCCTAACTGACAGACATACACCTGTCACCTCTAACTGACAGACACCCACCTGTCACCTCTAACTGACAGACACCCACCTGTCAACCCTAACTGACAGACACCCACCTGTCACCTAACTGACAGACACCCACCTGTCAACCCTAACTGACAGACACCTACCTGTCACCTCTAACTGACAGACAACCACCTGTCAACCCTAACTGACAGACACCCACCTGTCAACCCTAACTAACAGACACCCACCTGTCAACCCTAACTGACAGACATCTACCTGTCACTCTAACTGACAGACACCCACCTGTCACCTCTAACTGACAGACACCCACCTGTCAACCCTAACTGACAGACACCCACCTGTCACCTCTAACTGACAGACACCCACCTGTCAACCCTAACTGACAGACACAGACCACTTACATCATAAACATTTAAGTTGTTAAATGTATACCACATTCATACTAATTTTATTATTCTCTACGTCATTTATGTAGTATATTGATTAATATTTGAATGGTTAATTTTCAAGTTAATAATTTACATAGACAGTAGAGGTATATACATAATATACATACAGTACAGGTAGAACAGTACACCTACATTCTATGTATATTGAATACTTGTAATGTCTGCTTATCGTATACCTGAACTGTCTATGAGTATATTGTATACATCACAATATCTTAACTAAGTATATTGTATATCTCTAACGGTCTAAAAATGTATGACAATTTTTTAATATCAATCTACTTAATTTCCCCATCGAATCCAGTCGCAAGTTAGAGTCAAGGACCTCTGCCACCTTCGCTTACCAGGCCACTGTTCTTACTGCGTCAAGATCACTTTAAGATGTGGTAACAGCAAGTAAACAATAAAACAACACAAATAAGTTAAGTTAGGAAACAAAGATACAGTAAACAGCTCATCTTAAACAAATGTAAAACTGTTACTTAAGTTTACTATAAAATGTTCACAGTTTCTTTTAGAGTTGTAGAAAATGAGTTTTTTTGGAGTGACTTGAATATTCATCCTGATCGCAGTTCCTTGCGATTTTACCTATTTACTTTACTTTTATCCTCTTCACCACAGATAGGCTCATTAGCCTCTTGGGTGATCGGTCACGTCACTGTTGGCAAGTACTGGGCATGCACTGACTCCTGAATGAATCTGAACCTGCTCCAGTGTTGGTCAAGTCTGGTCTTTAAACAGCTCACACTCGGTGCCGTCACAACACTTTCTGGCAGACTGTTCCAAGAGTTGACAACTCTCACTCCGAAAAGTTACACCTCACAGTTTTCTGGATTTGCAGCTTCTATTAGATTTTATTAGGTAAACATACATGGATACATACAAGTAAATATAATATATAATAATGGTTGCCCCTTGTGTAACGAGGATGGCCGGCCCAAGGGCCACCTAGGCGTGAATTTGTTTAAGGTGTAGCTGTCGCCAACACAACAACCACACCCTGAGTTAACGAGCTGCATCATCCAGTGAGACAGTGATGTGAGAGACAGTATGTGAGAGACAGTGATGTGAGAGACAGTGATGTGAGAGACAGTATGTGAGAGACAGTATGTGAGAGACAGTGATGTGAGAGACAGTATGTGAGAGACAGTGATGTGAAAGACAGTATGTGAGAGACAGTGATGTGAGAGACAGTGATGTGTGAGACAGTATGTGAGAGACAGTATGTGAGAGACAGTGATGTGAGAGACAGTATGTGAGAGACAGTGATGTGAAAGACAGTATGTGAGAGACAGTGATGTGAGAGACAGTGATGTGTGAGACAGTGTGTGAGAGACAATAGGTGAGAGAGTGATGTGAGAGACAGTATGTGAGAGACAGTATGTGAGAGACAGTATGTGAGAGACAGTGATGTGATAGACAGTATGTGAGAGTCAGTGATGTGAGAGACAGTATGTGAGAGACAGTGATGAGACAGTGATGTGTGAGACAGTGATGTGAGAGAACAGTATGTGAGAGACAGTGATGTGAGAGACAGTATGAGACAGTATGTGAGAGACAGTATGTGAGAGACAGTATGTGAGACAGTGATGTGAGAGACAGTATGTTAGAGACAGTATGTGAGAGACAGTATGTGAGAGACAGTGATGTGAGAGACAGTATGTGAGAACAGTATGTGAGAGACAGTATGTGAGAGACAGTGATGTGAGAGACAGTATGTGAGAGACAGTATGTGAGAGACAGTGATGTGAGAGACAGTGATGAGAGACAGTATGTGAGAGACAGTGATGAAAGACAGTATGTGAGAGACAGTGATGTGAGAGACAGTGATGTGTGAGACAGTGTGTGAGAGACAATAGGTGAGAGTGATGTGAGAGACAGTATGTGAGAGACAGTATGTGAGAGACAGTATGTGAGAGACAGTGATGTGATAGACAGTATGTGAGAGTCAGTGATGAGAGACAGTATGTGAGAGACAGTGATGTGGAGAGACAGTGATGTGTGAGACAGTGATGTGAGAGAGACAGTATGTGAGAGACAGTGATGTGAGAGACAGTATGTGAGAGACAGTATGTGAGAGACAGTATGTGAGAGACAGTATGTGAGAGACAGTGATGTGAGAGACAGTATGTTAGAGACAGTATGTGAGAGACAGTATGTGAGAGACAGTGATGTGAGAGACAGTATGAGAAACAGTATGTGAGAGACAGTATGTGAGAGACAGTGATGTGAGAGACAGTATGTGAGAGACAGTATGTGGAGAGACAGTGATGTGAGAGACAGTGTG